TTTTTTGGTACCGGGGATGGAACTAGGGACCTTGCGCTTGCAAGGCAGGCAGAGGAACCACTGAGCTAAATCTAGGGCCCGAAAAAGATTGTAAATACTGTGATGGTACAGTGGGTTATAGATTATAAATACTGGTGTTGGGCCAGGGATTTAGCTCAGTGGTTCCAGCGCCTGCCTCGAAAGTGCCAGGTCCCAAGTTCCATCCCCGGGACCAAAAAAAACTAGCAATCTGTCCCCAAATAAGATATGCCCACATCCTAATTCCTGGAATCTATGAATGATTCCTTATGTGGAAAAAGGATCTTTGTGTGTGTAATTAGGGATGTTGAGATGAAAGAGATCATCCTGGATTATCGGAGTGGATTACTCTGGTATCCTGGATTATCATACTTTGACATATAAGTTTCCTTAGAATGTCAGAGGGAAATTTGAGACAGAAGAAAAGATGTGTACAACAGGTGATGAAGAGAGGGGTAGAAACTGGAGTAATGGGGCTATAAACTGAGAACACCAAGAAAGGCCAGTAGCCACCAGGCATGGGAAGAAGTAAGGAAAGGATTCTCTCCTAGAGTGTTTGGAGGAAATGAGGGCTTGCTGACACCTTGATTTCATACTGCTGGCCTCCAGAACTGTGAGAGAATACAATTCTGTTGCTTTAGGTTTCTGTTGCTTTAGCAAGTTTATGGTAATTTGTTATAGCAACTGTGGGAAACTAATATACTATGTCTACACTCCTTGCCTCCCTCCCTCCTTCACTCCCTTCTTCCCTTCTCTTTCTATCTTTTTTCTTTCTTCTGGTACTGGGGATTGAACTCATCACCTTTGCACTGAGCTATATCCCTAGCCCTTTTTATATTTTGTTTTGATACAGGGTTTCAGTTACTAAGTTTCCCAGGCTTGGCTCAAGCTTGTGTTTCTCCTGCCTCAGCCTCCCAGAGTACTAGGATTATAGGCCTGTGTCACCATGCCTGTCTTAGGCCTACACTCTTATGTGTCAATAGTAAATGGAGATTTGTTCTGCTTTCTGACTTCTAGGTTTTTCATAGCCCCCAGTTTTGTCATCACTGGTATAAAATATCTGACAACCTCAACCTGAAGGAGGAGAGGTTTAATTTGGCTTATGGTTTCAGGGTTTTAGTACATGGTTGGCTGGCTCCACAGCAGGAGCATCATGGTGGCATGGGAGAGCAAAGCTGCTTAGTTTGTGTAGGCTAGGAAGCAGAGCAGCAGAAATGCCAGAGAGGAAGGGACTACCGATCAGATTTCCAAGGCCACGCCTCCATGACCCACCCAGACACATCCAGAAGTGTGCTTTAAAAATCCCCTTAGTGGCCAGGCGTGGTGGCACACATCTGTAATCCCAGCACTCAGGAAGCTGAGGCAGGAAAATCACCACAAGTTTGAGGCCAGCCTGGGCTACATAGTGAGTTCAGAGCCAGCCTAAACTACAGAGTGAGAACCTGGCTCAAAAAACAAAAACAAAAACAAACACAAACAAACCCCTCAGTGGCTACCAAGCCAATCAAGTTGACACAATTAAGCTTAACCACCACAGTGGTCCTTTAGAATGTCCCAAGAGTAGAGCCTTCGGGGAATTAACAAGGACATATTTAGTAATGCTTTGGTGTAGTTATCGAAAAATACACCAGATTTATTTGGGCGGGCAGGCAATGTGCAGGAGATGTTTCCCTTCAACTTGTCTGTACCCTCTTGGGAGCATTATTTATGGAACAGTGTTTTATTAGATCATACTTTTTTTTTATACTTTCATATTTAATTGGAATATTAATACTAAAAGCAGTAAAATAATTAAGTCCTTTGGCTTGTCAGATTTAAAAAAGAATTCAGTACTTTATTCTTCAGTGCAGTTTCTGTTACAGAGTCCAGCATGTTTGTTTGCATTTTAAGGCATCTAATTTTATTTATTTATTTATTGAGACAGGGTTTTGCTATGTAGTTCAGCCTGGTTTTGAACTCACTATGTAGCCCAGGTTGGCCTCGAACTCATGGCAGTCCTCCTCCCTCAGCCTCCTGAGTGCTGGGTTTACAGGTGTATGGCACCACACCTGGGTTATAGCTGATTTTTAGATTGTCAACTCCATTAGGTGAAATTATAGTCCTTAAATTGCCATTGATTTATTTAGACTTTTCCCATGTACTTTTTTCCCCCCTTAACAAATGTGAAGGAGGGCTGGGGATGTAGCTCAGTGGTTTCACCGCCTGCTGCGCAAGCGCAAGGACCCGAGTTCGATCCCCGTTCCCAAAAAAAAAAAATCAAAAACAAAAACAAAAAAACAAATGTGAAGGAAATGCAGAAATACGAGATGAATTACTTCATGTTTTGTCTTGGTTAGTTTTCTCATTACTGGGATAATATTCTGGACACCCAGAAGGTAAAGGAGGAAACGTGTATTTAGCTCACAGTTTGTAGAGGTTTCAGCCTATAGTCAGCTGGCTGCAATGTGGGACAGCATGGCAGAGGAGAAACAGTCCAGTGCAGGGTAGGCAGGGCAGCAACAGCAGTGAAACTGCCTTTCCCTTTTATCCCAGGCTGCAAGCCTTCTGGGTGCTTTCTGTCTTCAGTAAATCTATTCAGCCACACCCAGAACTATGCTAATTCCACTCAGTACACTAATTTAGTACCATACACCCTTAAACCCAGTATCACAGCCAGCTCCAAAAAGCCCACCTATGAGCTCATGGGGCTTGGAGGGGGACATCTAGAAATATAAGCCACAACATATTTCTTTTTCTGTTTCTCCACAGAGTGTCACTCTACTCCAGAAATTTATTCAGCTCAATATTTAATATTATAGGAAGTAGTGTTAAAAGCAAGTGGAGTTTAAGACTTGAATGTTCATTGTTTTTTGTCGTAGCAAAACAATCACGATGGTGGGAATAAAATATAGGTAATTGGCAAAATAAAATCACCCATAATCCTGTCATCTTAATTCAACCATTATGCTATTTTAATGTGGATATTTCTTTCTAGTGTGGCTTCCTATGTAGATTTTTGCATAGTTTTTTGCCAGAGTGCAACCCCATTTTATATCCTGATTTTTCAGTTAACATAAAATAATTATAGCTTGCTGTTTATTCTTCATAACCAGAGTCTAAAATGCATACAGAGAGCCAGGCATTGTAGCACATTCCTGTAATCCCAGCTACTCGGGAGCCTGAGCAGGAAGATGGCAAGTTTGAGGCCAGCCTGCGCAACTTAGCAAGACCTTGTCTCAAAATAAAATATTAAAAATGTAACAGTGGTAGAGCCCTTGTTCAGCATGGATAAGGCCCTGGGTTCACTCTCCAACACTACCATCATCACACACATGCACACACATACACACTCACACACATACACAAAGCATGCAAAGTGTTCTTATTACATGTTACATGATATAATCACAATCCATGATTGAATATTTTGATTTCCTTTTTACTGTTATACTCAGAGTGTGTGTGTGAGACAGGGTCTCACCATGTAGTTCAGCCTGGCCTTGAACTCACTATGCAGCCCAGGCTGGCCTTGAACTCCTGACAGTCCTTTTGTATCAGCCTTCTGAGTGCTGGGATTACAACTATGCACCACCACACCTGGACTAAAAATATTTTTATACATACAACTTACTGCATTTTTTTTTTTTGGTACCGGGGATCGAACTCGGGACCTTGCGCTTGTGAGGCAGGCGGCGGAACCACTGAGCTAAATCCCTGGCCCAAACCTTCCTGCATTTTTTAAAGAGGTGAGGTCTCACTATAGTGCTCAGGTTGGCCCCAAATTCCTGGGCTCAAGTGATCCTCCTGTTTTAGCTTCCTGAGTGACTGGGACCACAGGTGCATGGCACTATACTACTTTCTACATTTGTTTTTTCTTTTTTGGTACCAGGGATCGAACTCGGGACCTTGTGCTTGTGAGGCAGGCGCTGGAACCTCTGAGCTAAATCCCTGGCCCACTTTCTACATTTTAAATTGTTATGTGGATTATCTTCTATATGGTTCCCAGTTGTGGATAAATCGGCATGGGCACTTTCAGGCATTTTAATTCCTTTTACTCAATTATTTCCAAAAGGATTGTAGGAGTCTTCATTAGCAATCTGAAAGTGATTTACCATCCTTTTGACAACTTTAGATATTTTTTCTCTTTTTTACTAGGTCAGAAGAGTTCCTTTGATTTTTAAAATTTATTTTATTACTACAGAGTATTGTAATATCTCCCTATATTTGCTTACTAGATATAAATTCTGTGTTTATATCCTTTGGTTATTTATTTATTTGATACTTAATTTTCTTTTAGCAAATTTAAAAGTTATAATAGTAACATTTATGGAGGATATTTTTAAAGTTTGCTTGCTTTATTATTTAACCAAAGTTTGTTATTATAGTTATAAATGCTAGAAAAATGGACCATAAAGCTTTCTTTTTAGCATAGAATTTCTTTTGAAATTAGATTTGTTTAGGCGCCAGGGATTTAGCTCAGTGGCACTGTGTCTGCCTAGCAAGTGAAAGGTCCTGCATTTGATTCCCAGTAACAGGAGAAAAAAATAGATTTATTTGATCAAGGCCTAGCGATACAGTGATATTCCTTACCACATATACAGTTGGCAGCCAAGGATTCTTCAGGTAATAGAAACAACTGATAATTTTCTAATTTTTTTAGGAAAAGAGGAGCTAAAATTGTATCCAAGAGAGTTGATGATTTCAAAGAAAAGTTTCAACATAAACTTGGAAGAGTTTTAGATCCGTAAGTTAATGACTAACTGCATGTTTTTTGAGTCTTTGCAGTAAGTTAAGAAAGTACTCTTGTGCTAAATGTTGTTTTGTGGGTTTTTTTGGTTTTTTTGGTTTGTTTTGGTACTGGGGATCAAACTTGGGACCTTGTTCTTTCGAGGCTGTTTTGTGTTTTCTTAGATTCTATTAAATCATTTTTTACTCTTTAGTGTTAATCAGCATAGCATTTGGAGTTCCAGGAAACTGATGAGTTCTGCAAGGTAGAGAGGGATTCGGAAAAGGGGGGAGCATTTTGCATAAAACTTTATTTCTGGTATATCAGGAATTTAACTTACTGTATTTACATTTTTTCTTTGTCTTCCCTCTATTTATAGTAATTTTGCTTTAAATGTCTTTTCTTTTTTAAAATCTGGTTTACTAAAAGGCAGTGAAAGCATTCATTCTTTTTTTTTTTTGGTACCGAGGATCAAACTCAGGACCTTGTGCTTGGGAGGCAGGCTCAGTGCCACTGAGCTAAATCCCTGGCCCCAAACCATTGTTAATAACGCAAGTGGGTGATGAGAAAATAGATCCTTGGGAGAACTTTTGTTTGATCTTCATTGATGATAATAGGAGAAAACGCAGGCTAAGAACATATGGCAAACATTTTAGATTCCAGGAATGCCGTGTGGTGGGAATTTCAACTAAAGGATTTGTTTTCTTTGGTAGCATTGCAGAAACAATGAATGTTCCCCCAGGCCACACATTTGGAGCTTGTCTCTCTCCTGAGGAATATGGTAACTATATAAACTTTTTTCTTCAAAAACAGCCATATGAACACTGTCAAAATCCCCATACAGTTACTTACTATCTCCTTTCAAGGCTTCTAATTTTAATTTTTTTTTTTAGTTTTTTTGGAGACAAAGTCTTACTAATGTAGTCCGGCAGGTTCAGTGAGTACGATGAAGCCCAGGCTGCCCTTGAATTTGTAGTGATCCTCCTGCCTCAGCCTCCTGAGTGCTGGGATTATAAGGTTGCGCTATCACCCCAAGCATATTTGTTTGTTTTTGAGCCAAGGTCTCACTGTGTACTTCAGGCTGGCCTCCAACTATGCCAATCTTCCTGCCTCTGCCTCTAGAGGCTTCTAATTTTAAAGCGTTAAAATGTTGCATTAACACTAATGAGAAAAATATTTAAGGCAAGAAAGGTCTTTTTTTCATATTACAGGTTTAAAGCCCTTGTAATAAGTATCTTAGGTGTAGTTAAGGTTTTAAATTTTTTTTTCTTCCCACTGAGACAAAGTCCAGTAATACCTTGGTTCACGAATGCTTCTATTCACAAACAATTCGCTTCTCAAACAAAAATGTTTGACAAAATTTGCTTCGGTTCACAAACTCCACACTGGGTGACGGACACAATGGTGACCATCTTCCCCACCCAAACACAAACACTTCTATCTTCTCTGAAGTCATAGAACAAATTAAGTTCATGAACTGAGATACCACTGTACCTAACACCTACAACTTAAAGAAGGAGATGTTTATTTTAGCTCACAGTTTGTAGGAATTTTAGTCCATAGTTGGTTGGTTCTAAGGCTTGATGGCATGGCATGGTGTATGACAGAGAAATGTTGCTGTAGGCCGGGCGTGGTGGCGCATGCCTGTGATCCCAGCACTTGGGAGGCTGAGGCAGGAGCATCGCCACAAGTTTGAGGCCAGCCTGAGCTACACAGTGAGACCCTGTCTCAAAAATCATAAAACAAAAATTGCCCCCCATCCTGAGGGTCTTTCCACAAAAGAATTTAATCAGATAATTGGCTCCTGATTTTATAATACATAAGCAATTTACAGGTGCTAGGAGTACCTATTTTTTTTTGGTACCGGGGATCGAACTCGGGACCTTGTGCTTGGGAGGCAGGTGGCGGAACCACTGAGCTAAATCCCTGGCCCTAGGAGTACCTATTAAAAGAAACCCTACCCAGTGTGGTAGAGCACATCTGTAATCCCAGCACTCAGGAGGCTGAGGCAGGAGGATTGCCTGAACTACATAGGGAGACCCTGTCTCAAAAAACCAAAGCAGCCGGGGATTTAGCTCAGTGGTTCTGGTGCCTGCCGAGCAAGCGGAAGGTCCTGAGTTCGATCCCTGGTACCAAAAAAAAAAAAAGCAAACCAACAAAAAACCTCAACCAAATAAAAGAGACCCTTTACAGTTGGGCATGGTGGCACACACCTGTAATTCCAGCTACTCAGGAGGCTGAAGCAGGAGGACTGGAACTTTGAAGACCTGCATAACAAAGTGAGAGCCTATCATGGAGGTAGTGGGGAGAATCACCTGGAAAGGCTCTTATTATGTCTTACACAGAGTAGGTGTAGATTTTTTTTTTGGTACCAGGGATTGAACTCAGGTCCTTGCACTTCTGAGGCAGGCGGCAGAACCACTGAGCTAAATCCCCGGCCCAGTAGGTATAGATATTACTTGCCTTGAACTGCATGGAGTGTTGCCATTTAAATTAATCCATCCAGTTTACCACAGTTAACTGTCAGAATGACCTTAATTCCGGGAAAGCTGAAGAGTGTTTGGCAGAAGGGGGACAGGTGTAGGTCAGGAGAAAATGAATAGAGGCAGAACGTCTCCTCTGGCTATGCCCAGCAGCCAGCACAGCATGGTTAGCTCTATTTGGGCTGTGGGTTAGGACTCGCTCGCAGTTGGTGGGAGGGGTAGACTTCTAGGGACACTGGAGTTCTGGGGGAGGCAGGGCTGAGAAGCAGGAATTGGGCAGGCAGACTGAAGGCCCGCTGGAAACTAGAGGGGCAAGAGAGAATTGGAGTTTATTTTTTATAAGGGATCCCATAAGTTCAGCCAATTCAGGCTCACTGACATTCCTCACTTGAAATCAGTCTCAGCTTTCAGATCCTCAGCATTGTAGGATTTAGCTCAGTGGCACAGCACCTGCCTGGCAAGTTCGAGGTCCCGAGTTCAATCCCCCCGTACCAAAAAAAAGAAGTGGCCCAAGAGGTACTGAAGTTGAGCACTTCATTGGCTTTGGAGAGGATGTAATAGCTGAATGAGGCTGATGTGATGCTCCCCCCGGCCATTTTATGTTTCTAGATATTTTTTTCCTTGAGTAGAGAAGTGATATAGAATAGAAATACTTTTAACAATTTTATGTAGTTTTTATACACAAGGATTCATAATAGCCTCAGAGTTAGATTTGAGCTTTTCCATTCACAGAAACTGCTAGCTCTCTCTTTCTCTTGATAGAAAAATATATTGACAGACTTTAAATTCGCATGAAAGACATTTCCTCTCTTTCCCAGGAGCTGGTGATCTCATCCATAATAGACTCCCAGGCGAGTATCTTCGAGGGAAGGACAGACAGCGAGCCCTGATTGCTGCAGTTCGACATCACTTGAAGAAATTTAATTATCAAAACTTTGACACTTTGCTGGCGGCCTTCAGGCACTATGACAAGGCCAGTAGGAGAGCAGTTTCTGATGTATGTGTGGGCTGACAAATCTCAGCAGGTGTTGTGGAACATGGGTCAGCAAACTATGGCCAGTAGGCCCAGTCTAGCCCACCACTTGTTTTTCTAAGTAAAGTTTAATTGAAACATTTTCATGTCCCTTTTAAGTATTACCTGTGGCTGTTTTGGTTCTACATATGCAGAGTTGAGTAGTAGCAACAGAAAATTTATCCTTTGGCTGTTACTAAAAATTTGCTGACCTCTGGTGTAGATTAGTGCTTGTCAGATGTGGTTCCTCTACCACGATCAGCATACTTGGGAACTTGTTAGAAATGCACATTCCAAGCCTGCCACAGATCCACTGAATTCAGAGCTCTGGAGACAGAGCCTGCAATTTTAGCATGCACTCCAGACGTTTCTGATCTGTAAGTCTGAGAGCCACTATTGTGGATCATTAAGTTGCGGCATGCTCCCAGGGTTTCACATATGCTAGGCAGGTGCTCTATCACTGAGCTACACCCCCAGCCCTCTTCATGCAGATCTAGATATCTCACCCAGAGGATATGGGAGGAAATTTACACCATAGTGACATGAATAAGACAACCTGCTGCAATACATAGTGCTTTGCTTTTTAAAATTCTTAATTTTAAATGTAATTATAGAAAATATGATCATCTTAATAGCTGTTGATTATCTGAATAGACCACCAGGAACATTCCTTATGATAAAATTAAATTAAGCAGGGAGGAAATTACTGATATACCTTTTAAATAGTTAACTTTTAATATGCACAATGCATTGTTCAGTGCCCTTAACGAGCTTTTTATTGAGAGGGTAATAAGATGTGAGTCTAGTACAGCTGTAAGATAATTTTTGATTATTTGAATCTGATATTTTTGGATGCCCAGATTTAATTTAATAGTAAAAAAAAAACAGAGCAAATAAACTATGATTTCCTAAATGACTCTTGGCTTACAAAATTAATTTTATTTTTTGTTGAAGACCCATGACACATCAAACATCATTCTAGATATCGAGTGAACCTTCCACTTAGGAAACTTGAAATCTAGAGGAGTTAACCATAAATTAAAGTAGCTGTGGTGTGCTAGAGTGGGTTTGAGAGAGCATACTGTTGAGATTTTAGGAAGTTTGCAAGGCAGTTGATGTTCCAGTGGTAGTTAGAAACTGACCCCGATGAGAGCACCTATACCATGGGGAGCAGCAACTGCTGCAGATTAGGCTTCTGTTCCCTCTGGCTCCCAAAGAGCTGGTTGTTAAACATACACAGCGAACCGCTGGAGTAGAATGAGGGCCAAATATTGTGATAAACTCAAGATTGCAACCAGGGCTTTTGGCTTGTAGCTGTAGTACACTATGTAATTCATGATGGATGTTCTTACCAATGCAAGTTAGCTGATTATTTTCTCTTTTAATTAACTGTCTAATTAAGCAGAGGTAGAACCTGGTAATTTGTGCTGACTTAAGTAATACATTAGTTGCCAATATGCAAACACTGTTAACGTAAAACTAGAATAGTCTCCTAAAATAAGTTTTGCTGATAGGCCTAGGGTTCTCAGAGCTCAGTTCAGTAATTGCTTCCAGTACTTGTTTCTGGAGGGCCTGCTTGAGGGCAGTCAGTTTGTCCATGCCACACCTGATGGTATCTACTTACTGATGGCATCCGCTCACTCTGTGGAATAAAAGTATTCCCTCACCCTATGGAATGACCAAAAAGGGGGTGTGGGAAGATAACTAGAGGTGTTCTGTGCGGGAGGTGCAATAACTAGGGTCATTCTCTGCTGTTTCCAGTAGATTTTGCAGTAACACTGAGAATGGCACTCAGGCTGTGGACAGAGGGAGGGCCAGGGGTGAAGGAAGCCCTGCTTGTCTAGCAGGCTCAAAGCCCAACATTTGGTCTCCAGCAGTGCAATAGCAAATTGTGGACAGAACTTCCTGGCAGTCAGTCAGTCAAACTTATGTTATTTCTAACAGTGTGGGAGAGCTTACCAGAGCTTTTCCTTCCTGATGCAGTCTTCAGGGAAGAGGCTGGAAGACAAAATAATGTCCCCCTCTCCCCTGAACATCAGAGGTCTGAGATTGTCTCTCTCTTACAGCTCGATTGCTGCTCTCCCTCCAGTTCCACAAAGACAGTGTGTCTTGTTCCAGTAACAATAACTTCACCTTTCCCCCAGTCATTCCCTATTCCCACCTAGACCTTTTGTCTGGAATGGAGATTTCTTTTTATTTTTATTTATTTATTTTTTGTGGTACCGGGAATCGAACTTGGGCCCTTGCGCTTGCGCAGCAGGTGGTGAAACCACTGAGCTAAATCCCCAGCCCAGAGATTTCTTTTTAGAAAAGTCTCAGACAACCATTTCATTCCCTGATTTGGCCATCATGGGAAAACTTGGTGAACAGTGGGCTCAATCAAGTGGTTATTATGCTTATAATCTGAGACCATCTCAATCCAACAAGAGAATCAAGTGGCCAAAATAAAATTGTTTAGAGCCTTTAGAATCCCCTCCCTCCTTTTTTGTTGTATTGGGAGTTGAACTCAGGGCCTTGCTCTCGCTGAGAGTCCTTTACTACTGAGCTTTATGCCCAGCCCCTAGAATCCTTGTGCCTGGTTGCTACCAGGTGAGTGGACCACCTATGCTGGCCTGGGGTTGCTATTGGGAGCAAAATGATGTATCGACCAGGAATGGTCGTGGCAGAATATTGAATTTTCAAAAGAGGTCTTTATTATCCCTGCCTCTTTTATTTTGATTATTATTCAGGAAGCAGTTGAGAACAGCAGCATTGAGGGACCAAACTGGTTCTACAAATGTCTGTGGATCAGCAGCTGGTGAGAAAGGTAGACAGTTTTTGAGAATGTTATTCTAGTGCTCAATAATACCAGATGGCAATGGATGTTAAAGAGCAGGTAGCTTCATCTAACACCGTAACTGATATTTCACTGTTGAGTAGCTTTTGTGCTATAAGGTCTATCATTGTCAGACTAAAAGTAGGCCAGAAAAGAAAGCAAAAGACTGAGATAATTTGATGGACCCTGTTTTAGTTATTTTTGTTTGTTTGTTTGTTTTTTAGATAGGTTCTCACTATGTAGTTTAGTCTGGCCTCAGACTCACAGCAATCCTCCTGCCTCAGCTGTCCTCACCACCACCCCCAGCAATTACTTTTCTTGTTGCTGAGACAAAATACCCAACAATCAAATTTAAAGGGGGAAAGGTTGATTTCAGCTCACATTTTGTAGAAAGTTTTAGGCTATCATCACCTGGGTCCAAGGCAGGGTGGCATGGCAGAAGGGCATCACAGAGGAGAAACAGTCGATGGCAAGCAGGCAGGAGACGGCAAAGCAGCAAGCAAGCAAGCAGCACCACAGCAGCAGCAAAAGGCACTTCCTTCTATCACTTCCAGGCTACTGGCCCTTTGGGTGGTATGACCCATACCCAGGGTGACCCTTCGCATTATCCACACCCAGAAGTATGTTAGACCAAGCAGTGAACTAATTTGGTAATCACACACCCTTAATCCCAGCACCACACAATTTAATCCCAGCATCACACACCCTAGATCCAGCCACCTCCCAAAGCTCCCACCAATAAGCACATGAAGCTTTGAGGAGGGCATCTAGACACAAGCCATAACATGCCCTACTTTTGTGACTGGAGATAGTTGAGTAAAACAGCAATTCCATAACCTGAAAAAGCATCAGCATTAGTAGAGGTACCTTCAGTAGTTTTGAGGCAGTTCAGGAAAGTGTTGGGAGCATGGGGCAGTGTCTCTCTGTGTGATGCCTCTTCTCCCACTACAAGATAAATGAGTCAACTTTTGCCAGGAGTCACAAGTTTGGCACAGAGTTTGTCTTTCTTTTCCAGAGGGTCTAATTAGCAGAATCACCAGTAATGGAGACTTTGAGGTCCAAGAAGTCATTAGGGTTGTGAGGGCCCCAAAGTACCAGAAGTTCTCTAAATGCAGGTCTTCTAGATCAGGATAATTTCTTCCAGCACTTATGAGCTTCACAACACAGGCATGTGGAACATCAGTACCTATTCAGCCATAGAAGCCACAGTGGTAATACTTTCTTGGCTTATTTATTTATTTATTTTTTGATGCTAAGGATTGAACCCAGGACCTTGTTCATGTGAACAAGTACTCCAGCCCCATTGTTGGCTTTCATTCTTCCCTGTGAAACCTGCCCAAATCCCAGGACGATTATGGATGCACATAGCTCAATGAAACAAAACACCAGTGTTTTCAGTCTACACAAACCCTTGTATTAGGCAGCAAGGTCATCATTACTGGCAGCATCTATTTTGGTTTTGTGAACCTCTTGATTCAGTAGCTTCCCTCCAAATTGCTCTTTTAGCTAGAGATATGAAGTTTGTATTGGCTGACTTTGGCCTGCAGTAGAGACTTTTTATATAGGTGTTTACATTAACCCCAGGCATTTGTAACTGTGTTGTCAAGATAATATGTTTTCAGTTCATATTCTGTTTCAACATGAGGCTTAAGGAACTTTTCCAGGGCTGCTGGTCTGACTGCCGAAATGGATGTAGTGTTCATTGGGTCTGAATCATTCTGCAGGGGATTCCCTTCATCAGCATTGTAAATCCAATCCTGGACACTTACAGCTTGAATGCTATTCAAGGATTCATTCATAGTTTCCCTTTGAGCGTCTCTCTGGGGGTGGGGCAGGGGAGGCCAAGGTCCCTTAGAGCAGCCAGAATCCACTACAACAAATAAACAATAAAATGAAAAACTTTTTTTTTATGGTGTTATGGCTTGTATCTAAATGTCCCCCCAAAGCCCCTGTACTCATAGGTGGGGCTTTTGGGAGGTGGTTGGATCATTGGTATGTGATACTGGATTAAGGGTGTGATACCTGGATTAGTCTATTGATTGGTTTAGCATAGTTCTGGGTGTGGATAATGGGAATCTCACCTGTGGGTGGGACTAACCAATAGGCTTGTAGTCTGGATGAACTAAAAAGGGAAAGGGAGGCTCACTGTTTGCTGCTTCCTGCCTACCATGCCATGGATTGCTTCTCCTCTGTGATGCCCCTCTACCATGCTGCCCTGCCTTGAAACCAGCTGACCATGACCTGAAACCTCTACAAACTGTGGGCTAAAATAAACCTCTCATCCTTTAACTTGAAGGTGTCGGGCATTTTGTCCCAGCAAAAAGAAAGTAATTTAAAACACTGGGGGCTTGAACTCAGCCAGAGCACGTGCTAGGCAAGTGACTCTACCACTGAGCTACACCTGCAACCTCAAGCAGCTCTTCACTGTCATCTTTGAATGGATTTAAGATTGGTTTGATAGTCATCCAGAGAGGCTGTGGGTTGAGATACCTCAGCTGTTGTCATTGTTCCTTAACAAGCATTGTGTGCTCTGTCCCCTCATCTTCCAAGTGAATCAGCTGAAGTTCCTGCTCAGAGCCCTCATGGAATTCCCCTCCATTCTTCCTCAGTGTAGGTGCTTCTGTCTTTAATTCTTTTATGAAAAGAGACTTTCCCTTTCCTCTCCCTGCCAGAATGAATCTTTTTTTTTCCCCCATTAAGTTTATTGGTACATTTTAGGTATAAAATACAGTTACATTCATCATTGGGATCTTGTACCATTACATGAGTATCATGGGTCTTATTTGTTTCCTCATTCCCCTGCCCTCCCTTCACCCCCTCCACCCTTCCCTATTTGCAAAGATTTTGTTTCCATTTTTTTCCTTTTCTCATATTTTTCAGAATGAATCTTATTATTTTTATTTATTTTTTCAGTACTAGGGATTGAACCCAGGGCCTTTGCACTGAAGTACACTCCCAACCCTTTGAGAAATTTTTTATTTTGGGCCAGATTCTTGCTAAGTTGCTTTGTTGCCTCCTGAACCCGAGTAGCTGGAATTACTGGCCAGAGTGAATCGTAGTGTTAATTGTTACAATAGGAAATAACAGCTGTTTGGCACTTTCTTGTTTTTTCATTTGTTTGGACACAGAATCTTGGTCTGTAGTTCAGGCTGGCTTTGAACTCACTATTAGCTTATGCTGGCCTCAAACTCATGGTGATCTTCCTGCCTCAGCCTCCCTAGTGCTGAGATTACAGGCATGCACCACTACACCCGGCTCAGTTTCTCCTTGTCCTTAGGAGTGTTACCAAGCACTATCAGGCAACTGTCTTTGAATCTACCTCACAATGAAGTGAAGACCATCTATGGCCCAGTTGAGACATGGAAAGTGCTAAAAAAACTTTGTAAAAGAATAGTCAAAAGCACACAGCACTGGTCAAATGAAATGGCAGGCAGATGTCATGATTGTACCCATGCTATGCCAATGTAAACAGCATAATGTAAAGAAAATGATTAAACCAGAGTGGGGGCTGGGAGTGTAGTTCAGTGACAGATGATGTGCTTGGCAAGTGGGAGGCCCTGGCTTCAATCCTCAATGCCACACAAAAAAAGGGAAGGAACAAAGGTCCTGAGGCACCCCCTTCTCTGACCAGGGTTGAAATTATTGTGTCTTTATCAGGCTGACTCAATGAGGGTCGATCATGGGCTCCTGTCTTGTGAAAACAGACACATTCTTTGAGTTTGTGTGGTGGACTATTTCTTTTCATTTAAGCTAAATAATGGACAGTGCTTAGCCTCGAAGACAGCACTGCTCATTACTCCATCTCTTCTTGCTTCACGTCTAACAGAAGGGAGATGGGATGATAGACAAGGCAGAGCTGCGGGAAGCCTGTGACCAGGCCAACTTGCATCATCTAGATGAGACACTTCTCAGCCAGCTGTTTGACTACTGTGATGTGGACAATGATGGCTTGATTAACTACCTGGAATTTGCAAATTTTCTTAACTGGAAAGACAGTATGCCTCTTAAAGAGTATGAAGAGAGGGTCATTATTAAAGGTATTTCATTTTAATTTTTATTTATTTATTTATTTATTTTTGAGACAGGGTCTCGATATGTAGTTCAGGCTGGTCGTGAACTCCCTATGTAGTCCAAGCTGGCCTTGAACTCACAGGCAGTCCTCCTGCCTCAGCCTTCTGAGTGCTGGAATTATAGGCGGGTGCTACATGCCTGGCAAAGGTAATTAATATTTGAAGTTTGGTGAACTCTTAAATAGGCCTTCATATTTTCATTTTTTAGGAGCTCAACTCTTGCCAATTTTAATATTATATAAAAAAGAAAAAGTACACACACATACTCATTTATCTGCTTATGCATAGAATATCTGTGGAAGAGTAGGAAAGATGCCAATAACATTTGTTATTCACAGGGAGAGGGAATTAGCTGAATAAGAAACAAGGTGGCAATGAGATCCATTTTTAATGTATGTTTTATATCTTTTAAACTTGGAACCATATATTATTATTACAAAATGAAAGCAGCCAGGTGTGGTGGTGCCTGCCTGTAATCTCAGCTACTTGGGAGGCTGAGGGAGGATAATTCTAAGTGCCAGGCCTGCCTGGAAATTTAATGAGACCTAGTCTCAAAATTAAAAATTAAGAAGGGGTGGGAATGTAGCTCATTGATAGAGTGCCCTAGGTTTGATCCTAGTACTTGAAAAAAGGAAAAAAAATTGAAAGTAAAATGTATGTAGAAGTTCCAAATATAATTCTTAAAAAAATTCCTTGAAAACTACTCTTAGAGTAGTTAGTCCCTTTCATCAGGAAAAATTGATAGTGGAATAGGTTTTGACATAAGAAAAACTGATTTAAAAAGTTTTGTACACCTGGAGTGGGGTATGGTGGTGCACACCTGTAATCCCAGCATACTGGGATGCTGAGGTAGGAGGATCACAAATTCAAACCTAGTCTGGGCAGTTTAGCAACTTAGTAAGACCCTGTCTCAATTAAAAAAATGGCTGGCAATGTAGCTCTGTAAAAAGGTCTTGGGTTCAATCCCCAGTAAGACAAATAAGATTCTGTACAGCTGGGTATGGTGGTGCATAACTATGATCCCAGCATTTGGGGGGCTGAGGTAGAGCGAGTTGGAGGCCAGGGTGGACTAGGTAGTGAGACCCTGTCTCAGAAAACAAAACCTGAAAAAAATTGCATAAAAATAAAAACACCATAATTTTTACTTTTGATTCAAATGTTTTCATGTTTCCATATTATTCTCCTATATCATTATCGATATAGAGGTATAGATGTATGAAAATGTGTATATGTATGTATTTTAGACATACATAAAATAACAATGAACATACCATTTCTACTTTTTTTAAAAACTTAGGTTTTGAAATAAAAAACAAAAACAAAAAAGAAAAGAGGAAGAAAATAAACCTTAGCTTTCAAATTTCAATGGTAGGAAGAGATATTTTTACGGTTTCCGTAAACTCCATTTTCAGTTCCCTCATGCTGGTCTACTGTGATTTACTAAATCATTTCTTCAGTCTTTGAAATTTAGGTTATTCTAGATATTTTAAATGTAATATGGGTAATGCTATGATTATCATCTCTTGAAAAGCTTTCTATTTCTAATTACATCTCATTTCTTATGAATGTTATTATTGTCCCAGAAGTAACTCTTTCTCTTTTCATTTTGCTTTTCTAAATGATTGTACCAATTTGCAATTTTATCACCCTAGCCTGTGAGAAGGTTTTATTCTAATCTTGCTACCATTGAGTGTTATTTCAAACATTATTATCATTTAGTTGGTATATAATGATACCTCATTTGCTTTAATTTTCATAACTTGATTATTAGAGAGGATTAACTTTTGAAAAAGGTTGTTTACACTTTTATTTCCCCTTGGAATATCTCTCCTCTAAAAAGCAAAGACTTTTCATTTCTCTTTGTTTCCCTGGGTTACCCCTCTCTGCAAGGCCTTGGTCTCTATTGATGGTGTAAGCCCTTAATGTTGTCTGTAACAGCCCTTCCATTCTGTTCACTCAGCAGCAGAATTCTCTACCTAATTGAGCTTTTTATAGAAAACAACTCTACCCCAACTCTTTCAGAAATAAGGAGAAAGACCAGTTTCCCTTTTCTTGGAATAAATAGTGGGGGAACTAGTAGGGGAATGCAGAAGCCTGTTGACAAATGAGATAGTTCTTCAAATTGTTCTTACTTTTTGGATCCCAACTTCAGTTGTTTCCAGTGGCATTCTTAAGGCTTTTATCTTCCAGGATACTAGGGTAGAAACTGCAAGTTAGTGGCCAGTAGAGCCAGAAGGGGTCCAGGAATGTTTCGCCATGATTTTCATCTCTCAAATTCTGTCTTACGGGTCTTTGGGAAGAAAGGGGATAAGCTCTCTAAAACAGTGGTTTTCAGTTTCCTGAGGAACTATTTTTCAGACTTTGTCCAGATTTCTGCTTTTTGTTGTGCAGGGGTGGGGGAGTGTTAGAGGATCTGGAACTCTGGATCTGAATGCTTTCATGGCAAAAATTGTACATGAATTTTCTTTTAGAGAGGCATGTATTTTCTTTTGGCTTTTTTGAGACAATGTCTTGCTGTTGAGGTTCAGGCTGGTCTTGGATTCACTAGGTTGCCCTGTCTCAGCCTCCCAAGTGCCAGGATTACAGGCAGGTGCCAGTACGTCTGGTTGAGGCTTTATTTTCTGATTTGCCACATTCCCACCTTTCTTTGATATTGGCATACTGCTTACTTGTACAACCCTTGCTTGGACTTTTCAGAACTTTATGTTCTTTTGGCGATTCAAACACCACAGTGCCCTCTAGTGGTATCTATGAAGTAGCCGGATCTTTGAAAGGGATGCCGTGGGAATTTACTCTTAAATTTGAGAATTGACTCCTCAAAGAAAATTTTCAGAGGGCTGGGGATTTAGCTCAGTGGTTCCGCTGCCTTCCTCGAAAGCACAAGGACCCGAGTTCAATCCCCGGTACCAAAAAAAAAAAAGAAAATTTGCGGAGAAGACCCCCTCCGCCGCTCCCCGCAATCTGATGCTGGGAGTTGAACGCAGAGCTTTGTGCATGCTAAGCATACTTTTTACACTGAGCCACATCTTAGCTGTGGGTTTTCTTTATATGCCAGTTGGTAGCGGTTAGTTATATAATCAAGTCCTGAGCTCACAGTGAGCTCTCATTACCCCTCTGGGTATTGAAATACACGTTCCCCAGCCCCCAGGCAAGGGAGTGGAACTTTCAATGCCGAATATGCTTTCTTTGTCTTTCCTGTGACACAGTTTTAGGAATAACTCTATAGTCCAAGTTATGAGAATATGCTCTAATTAAAAAAAAAAAAAAA